GACAAGATCCCAGTAACATAATTATTTCATATATTTTGGCAGAGAGGGTAGGTTGCTTCCTTATTGAGGTAGAAAGATGTCTGTGTTTGTGTTTCAAGAGTCATGCTTCACTAAAAGCCATTTATTCCCCTCATCCATTCAAATTAAAATCTTGGAACATTGTAACAAAACAAATAATTTCTAGATGCAAAAAATTTAATAAAGAAATAATAAAGCAAATTTGTACAGAAATGACCAGTGGTCAAACAACCCAAAGGGCGAAATCCCATGTGGGAAACTCAGTAAAAGGCCCCAACAACTAAATACTGAATTTATCAGGTATATATAAAGTTTACAAATATTGGAAATTGGATATATACTTTTGGGAAGATGCTACGGTATCGATACGGAACTATTCAGTCGAGGTTTGTAACCATTAGATCAACTATTTTTGATGGTTATATTATGATCTAACGGTTACAAATCGACGGAATAGTTCCGTAATGCGACATTAGCCTTACCCTTTACTTTTATTATATTTGGGGTGCTTCCCTTGGACGGTTGGACTGGGCATTTTAATTAGGCATGGACCTTTCTCTCCCAAGTGCATTGTATCCTTCTCATTGGATAAAAGGCTTTTGTCCTCCACTCGGTGAAGAATAGTTTTGTTACTCCTATTTATGAGATAGGGGGTGATACTGGTATTAGACTTTGGGGACCAAGAGCTAACTTGGCAAAGTCAATATTATACCCGAAAAAAAAAAAAATAGGCAAATTGACTTTTTGGAAAAAAAAAAAGAGGATAAATTACAAAATATTGTTAGCATACATAATACTGAGGTTAATATAGTTAAGCTCGATCAAGATGGCACGTGAGAAACTTCATGCATGGCAGCTGTTCACATTGTACTGCATGCTTCACTTTTTCTGTTTTATATTCAGTTTGCTTGCCACATGTATGGCTGAGATCTTAAGCTAGTATTGTGTGGTTTAGATTGTCTCGATTGTAGTGTTCATATGATATAAATAGACAAACATTGTATGGCACAGTTTGTGTGGTGAATGCAGAAGTTTTCCTAAGCTTGCTATGGCATTTATGGCTGCGTCTTCCATCTTCTCTTCCTTCATGAATGCTAAAGCATTTTATACCATTTTCTATCATGGTATCAGAGCAGGTTGATCTTGTCTCTGATCCATTTCTATCATTTCTTTTCGTTTGAATCTCGTTTTCTCAAAAAAAAAAAATGTTTGAATCAAGTTCTTCAACAGTAGGACATCCTCCTCCATCTTCCTCTCAGCTGCAAGTCATTTATCCCCAAAGCCAGCTTTTAACCATCAAGTTAGATGAAGGAAATTACTTGATATGGAAGCAACAAGCACTGATCTCCATTAGAGGCTACGGCCTTGAACACTTCATTCTTGGAGGACATAAACCACTGCAGTTCATAGAACAAAGAGGGAAAGCAAGTGCTTAATCCTGAGTATACCACCTATCAAAGACAAGATCAGATCTTGGCTTCATGGCTTCTCTCCTCTTTTTCTGAAGGGCTACTGGTGCAAATGGTAGGGCTACAAACCTCTAAGGAGATCTGGAATTCTCTCTCAACAAACTTTGTAAGTCAATCTTTAGCCAAACAGATGCAATATAAGCTGCAACTTCAAACTATGAAAAAGGGTAGCCTCAGTATGAGGGAGTTTCTAAACAAGATGAAAAGTTGCTTTGATATGTTAGCATCAGTAGGAGCTAAAGTGTCTGAGAAAGATCAAATTTTACATATCATCTCTGCCCTTAAAATGAGTATGATCCTGTCATGATAACAGTCACCTCTAGAATGGATACTTGGACTATCATGGATGTTCAAGCATTGTTGCTGAGTTATGAGTCTAGGCTAGAAGCAAGTGGTATGATTAACCACAACAATGGAACTGGTAATGTAAACTCAGATGGATCTCAGCCATCACTAAATCTTGCTCACAACACCAGTAGGGGAAATTTTCAGAACAACAACCAAAATTCTCAAAGAGGAAGAGGTTTCTCTAATAGAGGAAGAGGCAGGTTCAGAG